TGAATATTATATGTATTTTTGTATAAAGAACACGTTTATTTAAGAGCAAAACTAAGGTTAACTTAGTAAAAAGAAAAATTATTAGCTGTTTTTTAGATAATTAAATTATAGAAAATTTGTGTACGGATGATAAACGGAGAGAGTTTAAATAATAAAAATGTATATTGTATTATATAAAAATAGTGAATGCCATATAGTATTATGTTTGTATTATCTTTAAGATCCCTATAACAATACTGGCTTAACGTAAATTGTGTATGCCACCTTATTTATTTATTTACTTACTATATATATATATATTTAATTATACTATTGACTTTATTTATTTATATGCATTAATATATTATATTTTAGAATGTGTAGGCAGGAGTAAAAATTCAAGAGTATTACCTTTGGTTTACTGTTTGATGACCAGCAAGTCAGAGGAATTCTACAGGCGATTGTTTGAAGAGCTGATAGATTTTGGCAAGGAACATAACATAGTTTTGGACCTGCACGTAGTTTTGACCGATTTTGAGGCAGCCGCAATAAATTCTGTCCAATTGGAATTTGATTTTGTCCAGAGTAAAGGTTGCCACTTTCATTTTTCGCAATGTATTTATTGTAAGGTTCAGGTCTATGGACTTGCCTCAAGATACGGTACGGAGGAAGATTTAGCTTGCTAATGAGAAGTCTTTCTGCTCTCGCCTTTTTACTCCCTCTGAAATACCAGCTGCATATGAAGAATTGAAAACTAATATTCCAGCCGAAGCTAGGCATATTATTCGTTGGTTTGAAGAAACTTTCATTTATGGTAGAGTCAGGCACACACATAGAAGTAGAAATATCAGTAGGTAAGATCTGTTATTTTCTCCAACTTTTTGGTCTGTGTTCGATAACATTGAAATAGCGTATCCAAGAATGCAGAACTCTGTGGAGGGTTGGCACAGGAGATGGGATGTATTAGTAGGTTGTGTGCATGCGGGGATTTTTAAAATTTTGAAAGAAATCCAGAAAGAACAAAATAGAGTTGAGCTTGACATCGAAGCAATTTTGCGAGGTGCTCTGAGGCCACCCCAAAGAAGGCATACCATTGAGCATGAGCAACATATACAAACAGTGTTTAACGATCGTGGTAATAGATCTATTATGGAGTATCTTCGTGGGATTGCCCACAATCTTGCTTTTTAAAATTTTAAATTTTTTATTTTACTTTTTTTACTTTCTATTATATGAAAGATTTTGCATAAATAAAGTTTAAATATTAATAAATGTGTTGCTTTTTAATAAACTGGTATTTAAAAATACAAATTTTACAAAGTTACATAATAAATCACTTAATTGCTAATAATAAATGCGATCTTGAATATATATTTTTTAACCAGTAATAATAATTTTATTTATGCAATATCTTCAGTTTATATAAACTACAAACCTTTTGTATAATAAAACTAACTTAACTACTATCATTAGTAGGTGAAAAGAGCCGTGGAGAGACTTTTGAGTCTTATTGCGGAGATACTGGTGGTTCAAATAAGTATAACCTGGTCTTGTGCTTCTATCAGTTGTTTCTAAGTTCCAAGAGGAACTGAAAAGAAATTTCTCTTTTTTATTTCAAGTATACTGGGGCTTCAGGTCTCTATTCGATCGTTAAGAGTCTTAATGATCATCACGTGAGTCACGGGATTAATGTAGTATAATTAAAGGTAACAATAGCATTAATCAAAGGTTTGATCAGGTATTGTTTGGCTATAAAAAGGGTTTTGGATTACTAATCGATTCTCTCTCTCTCTCTCTCTCTTATTCTGAGAAAATCAATAGTATGGCAAAGACAATATTTTGAATCAAGAAAGGTTAATGGCGGTTTATCTTATAAGGGATCAAGGAAGTTAAGAGTCAACACTTCTACTCAAATTTTGAAGGTCAAGACTCAACTTTGGTTTTACGATTGAATACGACTTTTAATAAAAATAACAAGAAATAAATAATTCTATACTTTACTTATTCTGCACTCTTTTCTTTTTTTTTACATAATCTTCGCTTAAGAGTTCGATTGAGAATTAGGTCAGGTTTCGTGTACATTTTTTTTTTTGAATAAATAATTCTATACTTCTTTACTTATTCTGCACTGACTCTAACACTTTTCTTTTTTTACATAATCTCTGTTTAAGATGTCAATTGAGAATTAGGTCAGGTTTCGCGTACTCTTTTTTTTGAATAAATAATTCTATGCTTCTTTACATATTCTGCACTGACTCTAACTCTTTTCTTTTTTTTACATAATCTTTGCTTAAGACTTCAAATAAGAATTAGGTCAGGTTTCATATACTCTTTTTTTTGAATAAATAATTCTATACTTCTTTACTTATCCCGCACTCTTTTCTTTTTTTTTTTTTATATAATCTTCGCTTAAGACTTCGATTGAGAATTAGGTCAGGTTTCGCGTACTCTTTTTTTTTGAATAAATAATTCTATATTTTTTTTACTTATTCTGCACTAACTCTAACTCTTCTTTTTTTTGCATAATCTTTGCTTAAGACGTCAATTGAGAATTAGTTTAGGTTTTGCGTACTCTTTTTTTTTGAATAAATAATTCTATACTTCTTTACTTATTCTGCACTCATTTCTTTTTTTTTACATAATCTTCGCTTAAGACTTCGATGGAGAATTAGGTCAGGTTTCACATACACTTTTTTTTGAATAAATAATTCTATACTTCTTTACTTATTT